GCTGCTCTAGAGGGTTTTCTGGCTAAGGGACTTCCGATTCTCTGGCGCCTGTCATCTCTGCTCCTGGGCTCCCCGCTCTGTGCTCGGAGGTAGAGTCGGGGGGAGGCGGAGTCGGCAAGGTGGGGATGGATAGAACGTGGGGGTCATGCAAACCCGGAGGAAGAGTGGAGCCCCAGTGAATTGAGAGAAATCCACAAAATGGATAGTTAGAGGGGATCTTGGCTAAATAATCCCTTATTCACATGTTTTCCCATAAAATTTTAAATAGTTTTTTATGAAGAGTCTATGCTGCACATTTCTTTCAATAAATACATTCTAAAAGCAGCAACACTACCACATGCCCCGTATAAATGTTGTAGCAACAGGATTCCATTTTCATGTTGACCACCAAGCCGTTTTAATGTCTTAGGCTTCTGAACGCTGGATTCTATCTCTATTTGTCTTTATCTTTAAAGAGCTACTTTGAAGGATTTCTGGCCCTCTCAGGAAAGAATATCACTGAAGGGCAAGGCTGGGGCTATAAGTCAGATCATCCTAATCAGATTTCTGAACCACTGATCTAATCGGCAAGCCGTTTTGCTTAGCTTCTTGGTCAAGTTCATTCATTAACTCAGAAAGCATTTACTGAATATATGTTGTGTCCACCCCTGGGCTAGAATATAATAAGATTAGGAGATGAATTGAGCCCTGTCCTTCAGGAGTTTATAGTTTTACTGAATGAAGTGAAGGAAATAATAGAATGTTATTTAAAATGTGTGATGGCTTTTACACGGGAAATATGTTCGAGGTCTTTCCTGGCAGTTTCTTCATTTCAGAGGCTCTTTTGCCACTGTAGTGATGATAACCCTGACAAAGTGTTGCAAATGAACGGAAAGAGTCCTTGGCATTTCACAGTTCTACTGACTGTGGCTCTGAGCAGATTCTGAGCCGAAAAAAAGAATGAGAAATCGAAACCCCACTGATTTTTTTATTGGAGCAAATTGAAACATAAAATCCCTGCCCCTCCTCCCCCCAACACACACCATATTCTACTGGACTCTCAAATGTCATCTTGTCAACCAAGATGAATGCAAATAGAAAAAAAAACACTTAATTTTATTTAAGGTCTGAGAATTGATGAAGTCGCTTTCTGGTTTTAAAAGAAAATGTGTATACATATGTGAACTATTGGACAAAACTTTTTCCCCCATGGCTAGTTAGAAGAATGGAAAACTGTAATCAGAAGGTCCCACCCCCTTATATATGTTTCTCCTGTTGGCTTTCTTATGTAATGTCTTTTTGTGAGGCTCATTGACAGTTACAAACTGGCAGCCACTTGGATGTTTCTTATTTATTTTCCCCCTAATTAATGTTTATATGTAGTAGATAATATAATTTTCTTCGATTAATGTTTCAGAAAACCACCCTTAAATTCGCATGCACACGGAGGAATAAATAATTGATGAAAGCCCTTACTTAATCATTTCTATTCTCAGGCTGGGAAAGAGTGTGATCTGACTACTTTCTTACCCAGGGTCGAATGTTCGAATGTCTCTCCTCTTACAGCCGCATTGGTCCATCGTGCCTGGCATCCCGACTCGATCACTTGCGCAATGCGCCCTCCTGGCCGTCCTGATTAGGAAGAGGCGTCAGGTTTTGGTGGTCCGAGTCTGCAGCGTCTCATGAGTTAAACTCATTTGTCCTGTGGTTTTACAGTGGCAGTAGGTTGTGGTGACACCTGTAGATTCAGACTCTACAGAGATCTGATTGTTTGAATGAAAACGGACTCAGAATCACGTAGGCGGAGCCCTTCAAAGCCAGGGCAGATTCCTAATGAAAAACCTAAAGTGCCTTGAACTCGGGTGGGGAAAATGCTTGGGGAGAAAGGGTCAGCATATGAGAATCTTTCAGTATTCTTTTCTAGTTGCTCAAGAAAACAGATTGTACGTTGGGGCGAGGGGCCAAAATTGATGTTCATTATTTGCTTTGGCGAAAGTGAGGAAAGAGAATGTTGTGTCCTGGGACTGTCTTCATCAAAGGCTTACTTATTGGTAATGACTCAGGGGGTTTATATGAAGCAGTCACATCGCCTGCTGTCTGGTGGGAGAATCTGAAAGTCTGGGCAAGCTCGGTGTGATCGGAAGGCTGCCGAAGACCTAGCCGCTGTTTGGGGGACTTCTGTGCAGGGATGTAAGAGAGCACATGTATCAAGGGCTGGACACCTGCTGGGCTCTCAGACGTAGCGGGTCATTGATTGGTGGCCACATCATTCTGGGTTCTTTACTGGAGTCTCACCCTGCCTTTCTTCAGGCGGTGGGCTGCTGTTCATCTGCCTCAACTTTACAAATTCCATCTGTGGGTGGAGTCTGCCGGGCTCAGTGCAGACCACAGAGAGACCACCTGCCTTCTGGGGCCCAACGAAGCTTTTAGGTTCTGCTCTCACCCACCCCTTTACCCAGGCAAGTTCCTTTCCTTCGGTGGCCCAGCTGGTGGGATTCACCATATATCTGCCTGTTTTCCCATCTCACCGTCTGCAGCCTTGCTTCTCCGTATAGTGAGATGGGTGAACGAGTCTGAGGGCTGGGCCTCCCTGGGGACCTGGTGTGTCTGTGGGTCCAGTGTCACGTGGCAGATGTCCACATCCTATGAGACAGCTGCAGAGAGCTAATTGGGGGTCAAGTGCACAGTGAAGTTGCTCATGCTTGCCTTCAGGGCTCCCCCTTGATGGGCCTGGGTAAGTTAGTGCTCCCCCACCTGCCCCGTTAACCTAAATTAAGAGATAAACTGCCCTGGCCGGTTTGGCTCAGCGGTTAGAGCGTCGATCTGCGGTCCTGAGAGACCCGGGTTCGGTTCCCGCTAAGGGCAGGTACCTCGGTTGCGGTTTGTCCCCGGCCCTGGTCGGTCGTGCGGGTGGCAGCCACTCGATGTGTCCCTTTCACATCGATGTTTCTCTCTCTCTCTCTCTCTCTCTGTTCCTCTCTCTCCCTCCCACTCTACCTGAACAAAAAAATCAGAAAATGTCCTCGGGTGAGGATTAAAAAAAAAAAAAAGAGATAAACTGATGCAAGATTGAATTACCAGAAAGTGAGATTATTTGGGAATCGCAGGAGAATTGCAATTCTCATACAATTGTCCCACAATTGCAATTGTCCCACACGAACTGTAGCAAGCTACAGGTGAGTCCTTTGATGGTGTGGGGTGAGCTGGTTTTATGGACATAGAGTGTGCCAGGAAATGGGAGTCCAGCCATGGTTTCAGCAGCAAATTCACTGGCTGGAGGATGGGGAGAGATTCTTGGCAGATATTTACCAGTTCAGGGATCAGTTTCGATCTTCTGTAAATCAGGCTTTTTATGCGAAACCAGTCTCTCCTTCTTAAGCTTCATTTTCCTTAGGGCACATGTGTGAGATTGTCCATGTCACATTCTCTGGTTCCATTTTAGATTAAAATTTTTTCAGACTCCCATAGAGACGTTTGAAAACTTTAGCTTACAGAGGGAATCTGATTGCAGGTGTAAATGTGTCCCTGGGCCTCACCCTCCGACTGGCCAGGACCCAGGGCTTCTGGGTCCTGAGATCCTCCCGATTCTAATTCAGGTAAATCTTGGAGCACGTATGGGCACCTCTGCAGAGGGAGAACCCTGGCCCTCCCAGGGGCCACTTGGCTAATTCATGGATCAGCACTCATATTTAAGCTCAAGACTTGTCTGACATTTTTTTTTTTTTTAATCCTCACCCGAGGGCATTTTTCCATTTTTTGTTCAGGGCGAGTGGGAGGGAGAGAGAGAGAGAAACGTTGACGTGAAAGGGACACATCGAGTGGCTGCCACACGTACGACCCAACCAGGGCTGGGGACAAACTGCAACTGAGGTACGTGCCCTTAGCGGGAACCAACCAGGGTCTCTCTGGACCGCAGGTCGACGCTCTAACCACTGAGCCAAACCGGCCAGGGCTTGTGTGACATTTTTGACGGAGATGCTCGGAAACTGGCTTCTATTATTCATGATGATGCTGTGGGATCTCCCTGGTGGTCCCGGCTTTCTTCGTCTGTCTTGCTGTTCGCATCCTCCCCTCTTGGTTATCTCCCCTCCTGGCAATAGTCATAGTTGCTTGCTAAAGGGGTTCCTCCTACTTCTTTGCACACTGAGGTCAGGACTGACTTTCTTAACCTTTCCACCTTCCTTACCTGAATTCTGTTACGTTCCACTCAACAAACCTAAGGTCCAAACAACGTGCTCGGGACTTTTCTAGATTTCTTGGCTCAGGCTCCTCCCACTTAGACCCTCGGGCTGCCTGTGGACGTGGTGTGCAAGGGAGAGGGAGGGTGTTCTCGAGAGGAGCCAGGGTGAACTCGGAGCTGTGACCAGCCTGGAGGACACTTGGGTGGGAAATGGAGGGACTGAGTGGAAGACCTCATGAGCCTGCTGTCCTAGCTGTTACTGTCCGGCAGCTTTATTATTTTATTTTATTTTATTTTTATCCTCACCTGAGGACACTTTTCCATTTTTTGTTCAGGTAGAGTGGGAGGGGGGAGAGAGGAAGAGAGAGAGAAACATCGATGTGAAAGGGACACATCGAGTGGCTGCCACCCGCACGACCAACCAGGGCCGGGGACAAACTGCAACCGAGGTACATGCCCTTAGCGGGAACCGAACCCGGGTCTCTCGGGACCGCAGGCCGACGCTCTCGGGGCCTGTCCGACAGCTTGAAACATGTTCAAGTATCGCGTCTGCCCCAGTCCCAGCCCTCGGCTTGCGTCCTGCCCTCTACCCAAAACCGGCGCTTACATTTTGATTTCTGTCCTGAAGCAATATTGCCCCCAGGTGACCCCCTCCACCTCCCTGCCTTTGAGACCTGCCCCCTCTGCCTTCACCAGGAACCTTCAAGAGCTACAATCCAGTACGTTCGAGAAGGGTTGCGCGTGCGGAGATCGGGCTCTCGCACCATTTCTGCGCCGTGGGGAATGTTCGGCTCTGTATTCCTTCTGACGTTGCTCTTTGTGTCTCTTGTTCTTGATGCAGGAAAGCCATCTCCCGGGCAGGCCTGCAGCATCTGGCTCCCGCGCACCCCCTCGGCCTTCCTGTGGCAAACGGGCCGGCGAAGGAGCCCAGGGCGACTCTGGACTGGAGTGTAGGTGTTGGCTCGTTTATTTCAACGTCATTCGATTCGTGTGTGTCTGTCTCCTCTGGGTTCCTGTAGCTGCAAGCAAGACTTAATAGTTGTCTTTATTTTTATTTTTTGTAATGCATTCTTTAAAAAAATTATTTTTAAATCACAGTTGACATAGAATATTAGTTCCAGTACACCCCAGTGATTAGACATTGTATAATTTATTAAGTGATCATCGTGATAAATCTCATACCCATCTGACACCACCCAGTTATTACAGTGTTATTGACTGTATCCCCTATGCTCTACTTGACACCCCCGGGACTGTTCTGTAACCAATTTGTACTTCTTAATCCCTTCACCTTTTCCACCCATCCTCCCAGCACCCCCCCGCCATCTGGCAAAAAGTTCTCTGTAGCTATGAGTCTGTTTTTGTTCTGCTTGTTCATTTATTTTGTTTTGTTTTTTGTTTTTTTAGATTCAATTATTGATAGATACGTATTTATTGCCTTTTTATTGTTCACATTTCTTATATTTGCTTTCTTCTTCTTAAAGAAGACACTTTACTATTTCTTATAGTATGATTTGGGGGCGGTGAACTTCCTTAGCTTTTTCTTGTCTGGGAAGCCCTTTATGTCTCCAGTTTAAATGATAGTCTTGCTCGGTAGCGTAATCTCGGTTGTAAGGACTTAATAATTTTCAGTGTTGCTCACTGACCAATCTTCACGTATCTAAGCCATTCTCAGACTCCTAAGAACACAGCTCCCTCTATGAAGTCAGAGGTGTTGAAGACTCAAATAAAATCCTCACGAATCATTAGAACCACCACTGCCTGGGTGTGCAGCTGTGAGACAGAAGTACCTCTGTGCAGGCTTCGTCGGCTCCTGCCGGGCTGACGTCGCCTCGAACTCATCCTTAGCAACATCACGGAGTCTGAGTGGGATTTCCTCAGCTCACGCTGCTTGGCCGTTTGGTTCTTTTCCTTTTTATTTTTTTAATAGAGCATGACTTCACCTTACATTCCAGGCACTTCATGTCCTCCTTTCTGTTGTATTTCCTCCCCTAGCCCAAAGGTAGATAGGTTTTGTACTGGGGGGTGAGGGAGCGGGGGGTGGGCATATGTGCTGATTTTAACCTTTAAGCAAAAGACCGCCACAAAAACTATTAACCAGAGTTGATGACTGCAGCCTGAAATTCCTAAGTCAGACCACATTTATTGAGAGTCATCAGTGAGTCCAGTCTTGGTGGAAGATCTCTCTTACTGTGGATTGGAAGGCTCGGTCCCTTCCCGAGGGAATGTAAGGAACAGATGCTCTGCCTTTCAGGTCTTGATGGTGAATGTTCTTTAGCATTTGTAGTTGTTGACAGAGGGGAAACTCATGTTCTTCTTTTTCCATAAGAAAGGGCATGGCAGGGTGGGGGAAAGGAGGAGAGATTTAAAATTAAATGTATTTTTTTTTTAGCACAGATGCCATGATTTAATATTCTTTTATATTATAATCTCTCTCTTTCTCTCTCTCAAGCACACACTTGTCAACATTTTTGTTTTACATCAGTCCTGAGAGTGCTCGATACCACCTGAGCACATTGCACTGTTAGGAAGAATGTTCCTCTCCTGGAGTGTCCCTTTATTCCAGGACAGTTATTTAATAAACTTAAGTCATCATAGAATATAGAATATATTTGCACCAGTATTTATATAAGGAGAAAGAATTAAATGTGTGAACAAACAGATAAATAAAATCAAAGAAAGACACGCATGGACCCATGATGAGCGTGAGCATGTGTGATACATCAGGGACCCCCAAAAAGTTGGCTTAATATTCATGGTGTCCCAAACAATCCTCTATTTGAGATGCAAGATTCTAGTGAGAGCGAGTGTAAATCATTTAGATAGATGCCTTCATTAAACCCCTTTTCTGTTCCTTGTGTGGTATTAGTCATGACACGTCATTTCTTTCCGCCTCGGTGGGTGTTCTCACCTGTAGCTGGGGGCAGTAGTGGCAGCCTCCTGAGGGGAACTTCATGGGTGTTGTTAGGATCAGATGTGGTGGTAAATGTGAAAGTTCTTTGTAAACTGTGCAGCCTGCAGAATTATTTATCCAGAAATACAGTTATTGATGAATTTATTAATTCAGCATATTGGAGGACTTGCTTTGTCCTAGAAACTGTGTTGGTTCCTTGGGATTCTGAGGTGAGGAAGATGTTTCTGTCTTGAAGAAGCTTAGAGCACAGTGGGCAGGAAAGAAATCAAGGGGTGAAATACAGGGCGGAGCCGCCTGAAACAGAGGAGTGCAGAGAGCATCACTGGAGCCTGAGGGAGGACACTGCATCTCTGTCTGATGCTGGAAACAGTTATTAGACATGCTTTTGAAAAGAAGTGTCCTGCTTGAGCCAACGCCTGATCAGTACATACTATTTTCTGGTTCCTGTAGAGATGTATACACGCTAAGATTTCACTGGAATAGTATTTTTGGCTGCTGGTGGGAGGCTGCAGTATGTTGTAGGGGAAGAGCTAACAGGAGCGAGGGGTGGGTTCTTGTGCATTGGTTCTTTATTCGCCCTCTCCTTGGATTGAGGGCACGCTGTCACAGCGGCCTGTGGAGTTATCATGGTGGCAGGAGACACTTTGGGAATTTTACCAACAGAGGGAAAACCGAAAGCTTTGTCTCAAGACACTTCACCAAGGCTTATTTAGAGAGATGCTGGTGTAAGGCGTTTCAGATTTGACTGTGAAAAAAACAAAAAAACCCTGCATAATTGTGAGCTAATATGGCTGTTAGCAAACAGCAGCCAAACTGTGACCAACCCTACAATTTCTTACTACAATCATGTAAACCATTTTTCTCGGAAGAGAGGAAGAAACAGATTGTTAAAAATATTTTAGTGACTTTCTGATGTTGAGTTGTATGTATGATTCCTTATATATTTGGTTATTGGATGTATAATTTGCAAACATCTTCATCTTGTTGATGGTTTCCTTCACTGCACAAAAGCTTTGTAGTTTGATGTAGTCGCATTTCTTTATCTTTGCCTTTGTTGCCCTTGCCTGGGAAGACATAGCCAAAAAAAATATTACAAAGAACAAAGTCAAAGAGTTTAGTGCTTATGTTTTCTTCTAGGAGTTTTCTGGTTTCAGGTCTTACATTTAGGTCTTCAATCCACTTCGAGTTTATTTTTGTGTAGGGTGTCAGAGTGGTCCAGTTTCACTTTTTTTGCATGCATCTGACCAGTTTTCCCAGCACCATTCATTGAAGAGACTGCCTTTACCCCATTGTATTCTGCCTTTGCTACAACTTGACTTGCCTTCGCTTCAGAATTTTTGGCTTTTCCTCATGGATGTGCTTTTCAGTCATTTCATTGATGTCCTTTTAGTTTGCACGTCGGTTCAGGGAGCTAAGCCAGGATTTTCTTCGTTCTGTGTAAAGTGTAAGACTGGTCCCCTGGCTTGGCCCGTCTCTGCCATCCCTGCATCCCACCCCCTTGTCTGCTCCTCTCTTTATCTCCCTTGGTCAGCCCACTCTTCCAGAGTAAACATGTTCAACTCATACATCTTTACTTATTCCTTGCTGTTTATTGAGCATCAGTTTGGCTTGGAGCGTCTTTACAGTCTCCCAAAGGAGAAGGAGGAGGGCAAGAGTTTAAAAAACAAAATAAAGAGGATCTCGAATTTCTTGCTATTGGTCCTCAAGGATGAAGGGTCCCAATGGCGCTGTGCTTTGGGCAGAACAGGGGTGGAGTTGGGCTGACGAGAGTCCCCTTGGTTCCCATCCCACCGCCCCTGACTCTCGGTTGAAATTCTCTCTGCTCTGTTACTATTTGGGGATGGGGGTCATGTCAGAGGCCTATCGTACTGTGACCCCCCGATTTATGTCACCTCTCCTCTCACCAGTGAGCACACAGATAGAAAAGCTGTCACGGTGCCTTCGAAGTTGCAAAACAAATCAGGGGGAACCTGGATGTAGGGTCTCAGTCCTCAAGTTTCTACTGATTGCGGAATCCCCAGTATATGTGCTTAAGTCTGCAGGAGGGGCTTAGCTTTTTCCTTAATCTCCTTTTGCACAGGCTGTTGAGTGGCCTGCTGGTGGGGTGCCTGAGATACGGGGGGCACTGATTCAGGGAGCCCAGCCTGTGGGCACCTGTGCACGCTGGCAAGGAGCGTGCTATTGTAGGAGTCGGCTTTCATGCTTTGAGTACATGAACTTCGTAGCTTCCTTCAAGTATTCTCATTTTCCTACGTGGTGATACATGCTCTCTCTTGATTTTAGTCTGTTTCTCGAAGTCCGAAGCTTCTGTCCTGCCCTGATTTACCCTGCAGTTTATTGTGACCCTCGGGATCCTCTGCCTCCCGTCGTTTCGTCTTCTTGATGAGTCTGCCAACATCCACTCTCGCTCTGTGCTCCGGCCTTTCCCTTCACGCCGGGGTTGGACCTTTGGGCTGATGTGCGGGGAGCAGCCAGACCGGTCTTCCTTCCGCTGCCTGGGTCTGCTGACGACAGTAGACAGTCGGCCCCGCCCAGTGTGGACGTTGATTCCTCGAGAGATTCCCTCTCTTGCCCTCGGCCGGGCCATGCTCATCTTTTCAGTCCAACTGATTCTCTTTATTCACTTTTTGCCTTAATTCCTCATAATGTCTTTACCCATCATGCGCTGTCTGATAAACCTGAGAACCAAAGTAGTGTTTTTAGTTGATTTTCTTATTCTGGGTCCTTAGTTGGATTTCCGGCTCCCTGGGGGGGGGCCGTGTTTTCTGCTTGTTCTTTCTTCTTCGCGGTGGGGAGCACAGCGCGCCTCACAGCTGTCTGGTTGCCGATGTCAGGTCAGTGTGCGTACATCTTTCCTGCTCCATCAGCGAGAAGGGGCATTTCCCTGGGAGTCCTTGGGCCCTTAGATAATCTCCAGTTCCTGAAAGGTGGGTAGACATGAGTCCAAACCCTGCTTAAAAATAAATGGATTTATGCCATTTTAACTCCAAGTAACTCTTCTGAAACGTCCTTCCGAACACAATGCACTGTGTTAAG